CTTCCTTCCTTCCTTCCTTCCTTCCTTCTTCCTCCCTCCCTTCCTTCCTTCCTTCCTTCCTTCCTTCCTTCCTTCCTTCCTCTATCTTTCATTCTCTCTCCCCCTCTTCATTTCTTTCTTTCTTTCTTTCTTTCTTTCCACCCACCCACCCTACCTTTCTAGGCTCGTTGTCTTCTCTTCCTTCCTTCCTTCCTTCCTTCCTTCTTCCTCCCTCCCTTCCTTCCTTCCTTCCTTCCTTCCTTCCTTCCTTCCTTCCTCTATCTTTCATTCTCTCTCCCCCTCTTCATTTCTTTCTTTCTTTCTTTCTTTCTTTCCACCCACCCACCCTACCTTTCTAGGCTCGTTGTCTTCATCCACAACGCACTTTGCTCCCTAGTACACACACACACACACACATATGATCATACAGGTTGTAATGACTGCTAGAATATTGTATGCAAAGTATTGGAAAAAAGAAGAAATACCAACAAAGGAAGAAATAATCTATAAAGTGTTGGAAGCAGCAGAAATGGATAAATTACCTTTACAATTACAAGATAAAAAGGAAGAAACCTTTGGGGAAAAACTGGTCGAGACTGTACAGATGGACTGAAAAATATCTTGGAAAATTATCAAAATAATTATAAAATACTAAAAGAATCGCTCCAACATTAAACATATAAACTGAGATAGGTGTATAAGAATATGATTCTATTTTAATATGTTAAATTGAGACAAGAGTATATGCTCCGTGGATGTTATTCTGTTTTTCTGTTTTCTGTTCTTTTTTCTTTGTAGTTGTCTGTTCTCTTTATTGCTCAAACTAATAAAGAATTTAATGCTAAGGAAACCTCTTTGAGGACAGCTGTCCCCCAAGAGTTCATATTATCTAAGCACCTAAAGGGAATAAGTTGGCCCATCACTTTTCCCTTTGAACGCTCCACACATGAAATGGCCATTGCCTTCACCGTATGTGCACAGCTGCCAAAGGTAGGCCTCGTGCCACAAGAATAAAGCAGAAAAAGGGTTCAGTACTTACTGGGATGTGGGTGGGTGTGGGCCGAACGACTTCCTGTGTCTCAGGGATACCTTCCTGTTCCTGGATGTCCTCATGGCCGCTGCTCTCTCCTGATGCCTAGGAGAACCAGACCATGATGCAGAACTTAAGGGCATGTTTATCCTGAGGGACGTCACGGACACTAAGTGCATTCATTCAGTGCGGTCACACGCCACATGCTGAAAGAGCACACATATGTCCTCCACATTAATTTCCTGGCAGGATCACTGACAAAGCGAACTATACACTTTACACTTCCAGTGCAGTCCACTAAGAGAGGCGCTCTTGGTGGTCGAAAATTCCTGTGTATCAGAAGCAACGGTTTTCTGATTTCGCAAGAAAAACTGTGCAGCACTTGTAGAGAACCATCGCGACATGCATTATATCACTATATCTAATTCCGAAGGGTTGGCCCTGTGCGGACGGCATGATCTACACAAGGGGACTGCATAATCTACACGAGTCAGGGTTGAGGGTTCTGAAAACCTGAGGAAACACCCAGATTTGGGGTTAACTCTCCAAAGTATTTGGAGAGTATTCCAAAGGAGCTGCGGTGGCTCAAGTGGTTAAGACGCTGAACTGCAGGCTGTGGAAGGTCGGTAGTTCAGCAATTCAAGACCCGAGTGTGCCGCATGACGGAGTGAGCTCCCGTCTCTAGTTCCAGCTCCTGCCAACCTAGCAGTTCGAAAGCAAGAAATTGCAAGTAGATAAATAGATACCACTTCAGTGGGAAGGTAACAGCATTCCGTGCGCCTTGCTGTTTAGTCATGCCGGCCACATGACCACGGAAACGTCTTCGGACAGCGCTGGCTCTTTGGCTTTGAAACGGAGATGAGCACCGCAACCCTGGAGTCGGATTCGACTGGCTTTCGAGCAAGGGAACCTTTACCTTTACCTTTACTCCAAAGTATTTACCAGTGAAATCTTTGCATACTCACTTTGTGTGTTGTCGTTGTTTTTGCCAGAGCAACTGCAACACACAACAGAATCCCCACTTCAATATTCAGAGTGGGGGTGTCTTTGAACTGGCAGCCATGTCAAAGAGGGGGCGAAAAGCACGAGGGGGGGGGACAAGCTGGAAGGATAATGGAGAAGCAATGGTGAGAAAGAGGGAGTGAGTGTGGGGAGGGAGAATGGGATTTCCCCCAGAAGTGACGTCATCGTGCCGGGCATATTGTTCAGTGGACACTTTAGCATTTGGGTAAAAGCCTCTATGATCACCATAGAGTTTTCATCCACATGCTAGAGCGTCCTCCGCACGATGCGCCCAGTGAGATGAACATTGCACTGGGCACATCAGGCACAACGGGGCTCTTCAGGGGCAGGGCTCTCCCCATTGGCCAACTGGTCAGCGGCAGATTGGGGACCCCGAAACCGGGGGGGGGGAACCCCACCCCCATCAGAGGGATGGCAACCCTCAACTAGCTGGACTCTGTGGATGACGAACATTGCAAAACCAGACATCCCACATAGAAGATGGGTGTCTCAACATACTCGGAAAACTCCCCAGGTACATAGAATAGGGTTGCCAAATCGACTTACCTCTGCCGGCGGGGGACTTTGTGCTGGCTCCCGGCACATGCGCGGTGCATGCACGTCACAAGGAAGTGACGTCATGACTCCGGGGACGGGGCACAGCCATTTGAGTGGAAAACATAGTTTTCCCCTCAAATGGCTGTGCCCCGCCCCCAGTGTGCCCGGCATCATGACGTCACTTTCCTGTGACATGCACGCGGGAGAAAAATATGGTTTTGTGAATCAAACACCCCCATAACACAAACAATCCCCCCCCCAGCTTGATAGACAGTTTAAACTTCTAAATCCTGGAAAAGGAGAGTTTGAGGCGGATTGCAAGTGGGTTTTGCATTTCACACAGTAAAAACCAGCTGCAAAGTGCATCAAACGTGGATTGAACGTGCATTATTCAGTGTACGTGAAAGTGCCCAAAAGCTTCTAGAAACATCTCTCCCCAAACTGTTCCTTGTCGCCACTGTGGAAAACATGTATGTAGAAGTACTCACATAGGGATCGTCATCCTCACATTGGTCTTCGGCAGCCTTTGGGTCTGGTTTGATGGTCAGCTGCTGAATGGAGCCCTGGGGGGGGGGGAGAAGAAGAGCCATACAGTTTAAAAAACAACCCTAAAGGATTGCAGAAACGTGAAGGGAAAGGGAGTGAGAGCAAGTTTAGAACTCCCGCCACTTCTCTGAGACTCCGCCCGCACCTCACCCTTCCTCCAAGGAACTCCAAGCAATGTGGTGATATGATATTACTAATTATACTTAGCATGGCTTCCAGTGTTGCACTCACACCCTCATTTAAACAGGGCACATTTCATTAGTACCAGCACAAGCCCCACCCGGTTATGGACCTCTGCCATGTAAAAACATAACAACGTAAGAACACAAGAGAAGCCAATGTTGGATCAGGCCAATGGCCCATCTAGTCCAACACACTGTGTCACACACTGGCCAAAAATACCAGGTGCCATCAGGAGGTCCAGCAGTGGGGCCAGGACACTAGAAGCCCTCCCACTGCTGCCCCCCCCGCCCCCAAGCACCAAGAATACAGTGCATCACCTGCCCCAGCTTGAGAGTCCCTATCTATACCTTGTGGCTAATAGCCACTGATGGACCTCTGTTCCATATGCTTATCTAATTCCCTCCTGAAGCTGTCCATGCTTGTAGCCACCACCACCTCCTGTGGCAGTGAATTCCATGGGTTAATCGCCCTTTGGGTGAAGAAGTCCTTCCTTTTATCTGTTCTAACTCGACTGCTCAGCAATTTCATGGAGTGCCCATGAGTTCTTGTATTGTGAGAAAGGGAGAAAAGTACCTCTTTCTCTACCTGCTCTTTCCCAGGCATAATCTTATAAATCTCAATCATGTCAACCCTCAGTCGTCGTTCCTCCAAGCTAAAGAGCCCCAAGCGTTTTAACCTTTCTTCATGGGGAAAGTGTTCCAACCCTTTTATCATGCTAGTTGCCCTTTTCTGCACTTTTTCCAATGTGACACTGCTCATTCATTCATTCATTCATTCATTCATTCATTCATTCATTTATATTCCCGTTATTTATACTCTGCCTTTCTCATTGGGACTCAAGGCAGATTACATAGAACAAATCAGCACAACCAACAGAGTGGGACATCTGTTTGGGGTACTGGCCAGGAACTCCAAGGGTGCAAGAAATCCCAAGGAAACAATATCCAAGAACCAGGTTTGCTTACAAGGAGAGTTTAATAAGCAATGATCAAACTCGCAGAAATAGCAGGCTAAGCTCTTATCCGCTTGGTCTCGAATGCACACATGTACAGCGAAATTTAGCCAGACCTTGAGACGAAACGTATAGCTAAAACTAAGCATCTTATGGCTAATTGCTGGCCATGAGTAAAAAATCATTAATCAGGCTATCCCAAACATGGAGATGAGCCAGGCCACCCCGCACCTAGCGTCTAGTGGTGAGAGGAAACCGGTTTCTTGGATATTCTCTTGGGAGCGACCTGACAGCCTCAAGGCAACTAAAGGTCAAGCACCAGCCTGTAACAAAGATCCAGTTACAAAGGCTATACAACCAACGCTCCCTCTAAGCTGTGGAGTCTTGTGAGCAAAAATTCTACTTTGTGAGCCACTGGCATTAAAGTTGTGAGTCAGCAATTTGACTACTGCATAAATTAGTTTGCTCTGGAGCCCTCCTCCCTGAGCAAAGATGAAAATGTGTGAGCCGGAGGCTAAAGAACTGTGAGCTAGCTCACACTAACCCAGCTTAGAGGGAACACTGCATACAACACCCAAAGACAATGCAATAGGCATTTGATTTGTGGAGATCTGGAAAACCAACCAGAGGTGAAGCAAAGCTTCAGTATTAACATGGCATATTAAACTAAAGCAATGGGTACCTAGCAGCAATGCTCCCTCTAAGCCGTGGAGTCTTGTGAGCAAAAATTCTACTCTTTGAGCTACTGGCATTAAAGTTGTGAGCGAGCGATTTGGCTGCTGCATGAATTAGTTTGCTCTGGAGCCCTCCTTCCTGAGCTAAGGCAAAAATGTGTGAGCTGGAGGCTAAAAGACTGTGAGCTAGCCCACACTAACTCAGCTTAGAGGGAACACTGCCTAGCAGGCACCTCCTTACAGCAATAAACGGTACGAATTATACACAGTGGTGTAGGCCATAACCCCCAACCCTGTACTCCAGGGCCTTCTCTGAGCAACAAAGGCCTATGAGTAAGTGGTTTTTTTAAATCTTGCCATCAGCACATTTAACTCAGACCCAACTTTGCAACTGAGAGTTTGCATGTTGAGAGCTCACTAGGGTTGCCAAGTCCTACTTTAAGCCGCAGCGGGGGATTCCCGGCTTACTCCGGGAGCACACACACGCAAAGCGCACACGTGCAAAGCGTGCACGCGCAAAGTGCACACACGCAAAGTGCACACGCACAAAGTGCACACGCGCAAAGCGCGCACGAGCCGCAAGCACGTCACCCGGAAGTGATGCGGCCACACCAGGCACGCTGGGGGCGGGGCCACGGTCATCCAAGGGAAAACTATGGTTCCCCCACGCCCCCGCCCCGGCCACGCCCAGCGTGGCTGCGTCACTTCCGGGTGACGTGCTGATGCCGGGCACGTCCTGTGCTTTGGGGGTGGGGTTCCCCCCGGGGCCCGATCCGCTGCCGGCGGGGAACGAGCCTCTGGGGACTTGGCAAGCCTAGAGCTTGCCCATTAAAAAAACCAAAAACCACATGAAAACTGTGCAGGGACACAAAGGCGTGGGATCAGTGCTTCTCTTTTAACACTCTAGTCTAGGGTTTTCTATGTGCACGCAAGTTATGGCGAGTTGCATTTCTATTTCAGTCATGGTAATTACGTATATATTTGCAATTATGAATGTAAATTACCATGCAAATTGCGTCCACGTTTTTGAGAGCTCTAGTCCTTTTTTGGTCATCTGTCAATGGCCAGCCATGTGTCACCGGACATCGGCATGTCGACTGAAGCCATGTGAAAACTTGCGACTCAAGAAGGGCATTGTCTTTAACAGGCAGCAAGCAAAAATGGACTATCTTAACATTTGGTCTGAATTTGTGGCTCTGTTGACGTCCCAAAAAATGCATTATCGTGTTGTTCACCACCATTCTTTCCCTTCCTCCACCAACTTAGATCTTCCCCTCCCCCTAGCTTTCCGGGCGAGATGCTATGCATTTAATTACGAAAAAGAAAAGTCAAATAATAAAAGACCTCCATCGGATTCAACCAAAAGTCCTTCTAGTCCAGCATCCTGTTTCTCACAGTGGGCAGCCGGATCCCTAACAGTGGCCCTTACTGAACATTTAAGAAAGCAAAATTTGAAATTTTCAGAACATTGCAAATGTGGGAGTTGTCCACTAATTTACCCAAAGCTACATACAGATTTTGAAGGCAAACTTGCTCTGTATATCATTCTGTAAATTGCCTTGTGATCAGTGTTCCCTCTAAGCTGAGTTAGCGTGAGCTAGCTCACAGTTTTTTAGCCTCCAGCTCACACATTTTTGTCTTCGCTCAGGAAGGAGGGCTCCAGAGCAAACTAATTTATGCAGTAGCCAAATCGCTCGCTCACAACTTTAATGCCAGTAGCTCACAGAGTAGAATTTTCGCTCACAAGACTCCACGGCCTAGAGGGAACATTGCTTGTGATGCTTGCTGTCCTACCCGATGCAGGACATCTCCCTGCACAGACAGCAGAAAGAGCAAATGGATCAAAGGTGACAGGTCAAAGAGTTTCGGGAGTGAATTTCTCATTCAAAGGATGGAAAACTCTTAAAGGCTGCAGTCACACAAGCCAGTTGAAGTGGAGGGGAAGCAGCCCCGTAACTACCAACGTTTTGCTGGGGAAGCCAATTTTTTGCTCGGGGGGCCAGCCATTATATATCTGTATGGAGCTATGTGCAGTCTTTCCTCCCCGCCTCAGACTGTGCTGGTTCAGATGGGGCTGATCGACTTACCTGCAAACCAGAGTACTTCAGAGCTGTGGAGTGCACAGCTGGAATCCTGTGCCTCGTCCCGCGCAATGACTTCCCTGCGATCCCATGCAGCCCCCGTTTCACCGACGGTCACGTGGCTACTGTGGAGCTCAGGGGGAGGAGAAGCCACGGATCATTTTGGGGGCCCTGGAAGAAACATTAGGCATTTTGGCAGGTGGGAGGGAAGATTGCCATTTTCTTAACTGATCATCCTACCTACTTCTCTTAAGGCTTGCACGGTTGGTATTCCCAAACCTCCCATCTTCTGCCAATTGTTTTCTCCATGTGACAGAACACAAATCCTGTTACTTTTTCCCTTGCCATGTTGTGAATAATAAATTCTAGTGATTAAAAAAAAAAATCAGCGCTATGTATAGTAGAGTAATGAAACCTGTCAGGCACCACATTGGCACTGGAGTCTCAAGGAGATGCTTAAAAAGGAAAACAAAATGGGGGCAAAAAAAAATTGTCGATCTCCGGCGTGCATGTGTGCTTGCATGATCAGACAGGGGAAAGTCCGTCCGTGGCCCATAGCAAACCGGTTACTACCAGACTTTCCCTGGTGTCTTTTAACTCCGCTTCCGCGGCGGAGCAGCACGCCTTGCCAACGACTGCCGGACGCTTCCCAGGTGTTGCCGTCTGATCGCGCCCTTTAGATCCGCCCGGCATTCGCACCTGTGTCGTCTCTAAAAGCGTGTGTGACCACAGCCACTGCTCCCTCTAAGCTGTGGAGTCTTATGAGCAAAAATTCTACTTTTTGAGCTACTGGCGTTAAAGTTGTAAGTGGGCCATTTGGCTACTGCATAAATTGGTTTGCTCTGGAGCCCCTCCTCCCTGAGCTAAGACAAAAACGTGTGAGCTGGAGGGTAAAAAACGGTGAGCTGGCTCACACTAACTCAGCTTAGAGGGAACACTGATCACAGCCAAAGTTTTCCAGGACATGACGGCCAAGCACACACACAGAAACCCCAATGGCAGAATTTTGATCTGAGCACCCTTATTGTGCTTCTGGTCTGGAAGAGGAACCGATCTGCTCTTTCCCAACATCGCTGGGGGCTGCGCGGCTCCTGGGATCTGCCGGGAAGTCTTGACCCGTTGTTGGCAAGTCACGACACTAAATTCTTTCACTGCAGTCGATATTAGCATTTCATTAAATGAGAGAAAACAAAACTCGAGACCTTTGTTTTCGTTTGGCTCCAGTTTTTCCCTTTGGCCAACTTCCCCCTTTCCGCTGGAATCGGGCTGGCTGTCAACTCCAAGCGAGACTCGGCGGGAAGACGGCTGACTTAAACCGATAATGCCTCGGAGTCTGGATTTATTTAATTCCAGGGGCATGGCGCACACAGGCATATGTTGTCATCTGTCTTTAAGCACTTCCTTTTGCATGTATAAATGCAGCTTTGCAAACAGTTTACCATTCTACTGGGTGGCCAGAACGTAAGAACATAACATAAGGGAAGCCAATGCTGGATCAGGCCAATGGCCCATCTAGTCCAACACTCTGTCACACAGTGGCCAAAAACACCAGGTGCCATCAGGAGGTCCAGCAGTGGGGCCAGGACACTGGAAGCCCTCCCACTGTTGCCCCCCCTGCCCCCAAGCACCAAGAAATACAGTGCATCACTTGCCCCAGCCTGAGAGTTCCTATCTATTGTTGTTGTTGTTCAGTTGCACAGTCGAGTCCGACTCTTCGCGACCCCATGGACCAGATCACGCCAGGCCTTCCGGTCTTCCACCGTCCTCTGAAGTTTGCTCAACTTCATGTTCGTTGCATCTATGACACTGTCTAACCATCTCATCCTTTGCCGTCCCCGTCTTCTTTGACCTTCAATCTTTCCCAGCATCAAGGTCTTCTATACCTTGTGGCTAATAGCCACTGGTGGACCTCTGCTCCATATGCTTATCTAATTCCCTCTTGAAGCTGTCCATGCTTGTAGCCACAGCCACCTCCTGTGGCAGTGAATTCCATGGGTTAATCGCCCTTTGGATGAAGAAGGACTTCCTTTTATCCGTTCTAACCCGACAGAAAATCCATATGCTAACCCATCTCTTGCCTCTTGCTGATGGTTACAAAGATAACCAGGGATACCAGCCTCCTGGTGCATCTCCTGGAATCCCAGCTCATCTCCAGATGACGGAGATCAGTCTCCCCTGGAGAAAACAGATGCTCTGGAGGAGGGACTCCATGGCATTGCGCCCCACTGAGGTCCCTCTCCTCCCCCAGGCTCCACCCGCCAAACTCCAGGAATTTTCCAACCTGGAGCTGGCCAGGTGGGATCTGGCAACCCTAGCTCAGGTAACGTGTGTTAATAATGTTGAAAACGGAACATGCAGGCCCGTAGCTAACATGGGGCCCGGCCCCCTAGCGGTTTTTATGGGCCCCCTTCCTGAGCCTTGGCTTCCCTACCCCAACTCCCTCTGATTGCCTGTCAGCCTGTTGGCAAGGGAGGACAAGGGCAGTGATTTCCCCTGGTGCTGTGCAGCGGGAAGAGGCACTGGGGCTCCTTGGGGAGGGAGGGAGCTGGACCCGGACGCTCCACAGGGAAAGCTTGCCCTTGTGGGGGAGAGAAGCTGCGACTGCTGCAGCCCTTGCCCTGGAGCCTTTGACTGGATTAGCAGGCGGGGCCCTCTAGGCCCCCTTCCTAAAAAGTCCTTAGCTACGGGGCTGGGAACATGAGTGATGTGATGACACCTGGAGGCGCCCGGGAGGCTGCGCATGGCCAGAGGAGCAGGAAAACATCTGGGAATGGCGAGGGCCGTCCTCGGGCCCCGGGTTGTGGGACTAGAGGTGGCAGCTGCAGGAAAAGCCTAGGGAAGGACAAGAGGCAGCGGCACCAGCTGGCAAGGGAGACGGTGCTCACCGAGAGAAGGCGAGGCAGGTGCAGGCTCTGGGATCGTGGGTCCAGGGCTTTATTTGTAGAAAAAGCCCAGCAGGAACTCTTTAGCATAATAGGCCACACCCAACAGCAGAAACTCATTAGCATATTAGCCCACACCCCTGACAGCACAGCTCATTAGCACATCAGGCCGCACCCCCACTTTACCAGAAGTGTGGCCATCCAGCCACACCCACCTTTTGCTTCTTATTCTGTTTACCTTGTTTGTTGTCAAAACCCAGGGCCTTTTTTTTGTAGCAGGAACTCCTTTGCATGTCAGGCCACACACCCCTAATGTAGCCAATCCTAATAAGTCTCTGCTGTTGGGTGTGGCCTATTATGCTAATGAGTTCCTGCTGGGCGTGGCCAACTCGGGAGCCAGCCGGAACTCCGTTCCTGTGCGTTCCTGCTCCAAAAATAGCCCTGCGGAGGTCTAAGAGGTGGCACGGGTGAGAAGGGCCTGGGAAGGGAGCACAGCACCGTGGGAAGCAGGAGGACTCCCCGGGGAGCGGAGCCCAGGTATAAAAGGCCAGCTCCCGATCTGAGGCTACAGCGCCCTTGTCACAAAGGCAGTTGTGGACAAAGCACTGAGTATGGGTGTAGGAACTTAGTTCTTGTGGCCCTTTCTGACATGCCCAGGGAAATGCCGATCACCACTTTGGGGTCAGGAAGCAATTCATTCTCCAGGCCAGTTTGGCCAGGGATCCTGGAGGTTTCCCCCCATCTTCTGGACATGGAGCAGGGAGGCAGTTGTGGATTTCCTGCATTGTGCAGGGGGTTGGACTAGATGACCCTGGAGGTCCCTTCCCACTCTTAGATTTTATGATCCCAACCTTGTGGTGAAATCCCAGCTCAACTGTAAAGCCCGGGGTGGGTCCCGTATCTCATCCTCATGAGGGTTCCCGACTGATGGCTGACAACCATAGCGGCTTTATACCCTCCTGAGGACCCTCCCCCGCCCAGACCTCCCCCACCCTCCCCACTCCAGGAATCTCCAGGAATTTCCAACCTGGAATTTGCAACCCTCCTTGCTAATAGCAAAGAAAGAAAAAGAAAGTGGCTGGAGATCTCCCAGTATTAAAACTGATCTCTAGGTGACAGAGATCAATTCACCTGGGCAAAATGGCTGCTTTGGAAGGTGGACTCTATGGCATTATTGCTGGAAATATGTGAGGTGCAAGGTCTAGATTCCAGTCATTATAGGGTTAACCTGATTTACCTGGTGTACTATCGTTTAGAGCAGTGATGGCGAACCTTTTAGAGACCGAGTGCCCAAACTGCGACCCAAAACCCGCTTATTTATCGCAAAGTGCCAACACGGCCATTTAACCTGAATACTGAGGTTTTACTTTAGAAAAAACAACCCATACATTAACTTAAGATGATCCAAACAAAGTGAGGCAAGCAATCCCAAATGCTTTCATTTACTTAAAATTATTCGGCAGAGAATTCGACACTTTAATGATGGTCTGGGCCTGGCTGGGGCGATGGCACGCGTGCCCACAGAGAGGGCTCTGAGTGCCACCTCTGGCACCCGTGCCACAGGTTCGCCACCACTGGTTTAGACTAACCTGGGAGGGAAACTTGGCTCAGAGCCAATGGGAAGGTAGCCCGGGGAAAATCTAAGTCTGTTTACTAGCAATCATTGGTTACTCTGTTCAGGTGACTTCGTTCTAGGGGTCGAGAAGAAGGGGGATCTCCATTGTTGTGTGACCACGTGTTCTGTGCTATAAGATGTAAAGATGTCGGTCTAGATATCTCTTTGTTATTTTGTAGCTTTCCACGCAAACCCTTCCCTTAGAAATAAAGCTCTTTACATAGAAAGTAATGTCTCCTCTCCAGTGAAGCAAAGATTCATTGCAAATTCTGAGTATTTAAGTATTTTTGCCTATTATCCCCCAACAATTATACCCCATTGAAGTCCCTCCCCTCCCCAAACCCCTCCCTCCTCAGGCTCCCCCCACCCACCCCAAATTCCCAGGTATTTCCCAACCTGAACCTGGCAACCATATCGCTAAGTCTCTTTCCATCTATGCCTTCTCAGAGTGGTTGGGAAGATGTTGCTCTATGGACCACCTCCCTTATGGAACAGAGAAACACATTGGCATGGTGATGCCCTCTCCTTGTGGAATGCCCCACCCCTAGCCCCACCCGGCCACACCTTTGTTGGCTCTCTAGGTTCTAACTATGATGCTATGCTTTCAGGATGTATATTTTGTTCGCTAACGGCATCTGCAATGATGTTCCTTCAGCTAGCATTTTTTCCTTGCATATTTTGACTTTGTCATGGTTTATTATTCAATCCTTCTGGTTTTAATTCTTATTACACTTTATCACTTTACACAGAGAGTGATTAAAATGCGGCATTTGCTGCCAGATGGTCACATGAATAAACAGCTTAAAAGGGGGATTCGATAGATTCATGGAGGGTCAGTCTATCAATGGCTACTAGCCCTGGTGACTGAGGGGAACCTCCACATTCAGAGGCACTAAGCCTCTGAATTTCAGAGCCAGGAGGCAACATCAGGTGAAGGCCTTGGCCTCTACACCCTGTTGCTGGCCCTCTACACCCTGTTGCTGGCCCTCTAGAGGAACTGGTTGGCCACTGTGTGAGACAGGATGCTGGACTAGATGGACTATTGGTCTGACCCAGCAGGGCTCTTCTGATGTTCTTACAGGGTTTATAGCATTGAAGTCTGCACATGGGGCTTTATTCCAGGAGTCAACTCAAAATGGAGTTTGGTTGACTGGGAACCTGGGGAAGGCTCCCTTTGTGGAACCCGCTTTCTCAGAAGTTGAGATTGACACACACACCCTCTGACTGGTTGGAAAATCCTGTTCCAGAAGACCTTCTAAATTTGTGGGTCTGTGAAACTTAAGCATTTAGATGTACAGCGACAGTCTAGCTGACTGGGACCCTGGGGAAGGCCTTCCCCTTTGTGGAACCCGCTTTCTCAGGAGTTGAGATTGACACACACACCCTTTGACTGGTTGGAAAATCCTGTTCCAGAAGACCTTCTAGCTAGCTAGATTTGTGGGTCTGTGAAACTTAAGCATTTAGATGTACAGCGACAGTCTAGCAGCAAGGTCACCCAGAAATGTGTCAAGTGGTGATACTTACAGTGAACTTTTCTAATCCTGTGGCTCCCGCATTCCCAACAAATATTCCTGAACTCGGCTCAAAGAACAGAGCCTGAGAAGATCGCTGGAACTGGATCCTGTGATACTCTTCACAATCCAAGAACAACACAATGTCGTTGTCCTGCACCGTCAACGTAAAGCGGTTCCATTTGTTGGTCATCACCGGGACTTTGAACGAAGCCGCCTCTCTGGATATGTGAGACCGGGGTTCGGTGTAATACATAATTATCCTCTGGGTGCGATCGTCTACCAGCGACAGCCTGACTCCCAAATAAATCTTCTTCTGGAAGGCATCGGTGATGGCAAACAACATCCCTCCGTGGTCACTGTTTGGCTTGACTGTGGCAGTGATAGCAAAGTCCCGGTAGAACCGTTGAGGTATCAGAGTCCTCGTCAGGCGGCCAATGTTAGCATCCGGTCCAAAACTGTATGCCGGAAACCCTCCATAGCCGGTGATAAAAGAGACGGAAGGGGGGAGGGGGACGCCTATTAGTTCTGTGAGGTCCAGGTGCCCCTTTGAGCCTCGTTCTGTAGCGCAAGAGAAAAACACAGAATATGGATTCTGTCATTCATAGTTCTCATGTAAGGAAAAGCCAGAGTGAGATACTCCTTACAAACATTATGCTGCCTGTAGGGAGGTTGCCCAGACTCGGATGGCGCAGGCTAGCCTGATCTCGTCAGATCACACAGAAGCTAAGCAGGGTCGGCCCTGGCTGGTACTTGCATGGGAGACCACCAAGGAAGTCCAGGGTTGCTATGCAGAGGAAGGCAATGGCAGGCCACCTCTGCTCCTCTCTTGCCTTGAAACCCCCCTGAGGGCTTGCTGTGAGTTGGTTGTGACCTGACAGCACCCAGTTATTAGTCTTGACCTGGATGGCTGTCGCCAGTTCTAATGCTATCACACTCCTGGTCAGGTTACTCTCAACAACACTCTCTTTGGCAGTGATATGTTCATTGAGATATATGCAAGATCCAGATCAGAACAGTACTGTGTTAGAACTGGTGATTTTGGTGCGCACCTGACCAGATAGAGGTAATTCAAACATAGCCCCTTTCCCCCATCCCCCAATCACACATCACACTCCCTGCCTAGCCGTTGCCATCCCAACCGAATTGGGAGATATGGTTCCATTATCTACTAGCTCAAGCTGGCACCGATAGTCTCAAGGACATTCCTCTGGGAGAAAGGAAGGTATATCTTCAAGACACGTTACAGCGTCTACAAGCGAAAGCTTCCCACTCACACACCAGTCACTCCCCTTAGGAATGTCCCTCCCCCCCAGCAAATATGGCAAACTGAGCGAAGCAAAGTGTAGCAGGGTTTGACATTGGCCCAGGCTAGCCTGAACTCATCAAATCTTGGGAGCTAAGCAGGGTCAGCCCTCGTTGGTACTTGGATGGGAGACCACCAAGGAAGTCCAGGGTCGCTATGCAGAGGCAGGCAGTGGCAAACCACCTCTGCATGGCTCTTGCCTTGAAAGCTCTGCTGGGTCACCATAAGTCAACTTGATGGCAAAACAAACAACAAGCAAAAATACGCTGTTGGTATTTGAGGCCTAGCATACCTTGCAGTTACAAGAATGAGCTATGAGGAAGTCCTGGCGGGACTTATGCAGATTTTTTGGGGAATAACCCCTCACTTAGCTAAATATTACTTATCGTCTATGCAGGGCCGGCTCACCCGCTAGGTGAACTAGGCATTTGCCTAGAGCGGGGCCCTGGATCGGTGCGGCAAAATGCCACCCTCACTACCGCCAAAAGCCCCCCCCCGCCCCAGAGTGAGTCCCGGGCGCAACAGGGGTGGAGGAGCGGGTCCTGCTGCAGGCTTGGCTGGAGAGAGGTCCATGGTGCCTCTCCTCCAGCCCCCCACCAAAGGGACTCACCGCCGCCACCACCAGCAGGAGCAGCGGGACCCCCGGCCTGGGTGCAGGAGGTGGTGTCGCAGCTCGCCTGCCCTCCCCCCTCCCTCCTTGGGGGCGGGCGGACTGGGTGGAAGCTCCCTGAGAGCGGTGCATCTAAGTGCTGTCGGAGGAGGCTGCCCTGTCATTCGCCTGCCCATCGGAGCTCCCCGTACAAGTGAGCCCCACCGCGGCAGCGGCGTCCTCGCCTTGGCCGGTGTGCCTGGCCGTGCGCTCCCCCTCCCCCTCTTGGCGCCGGGGCTGGGCGGGAGGGCGCGGGGCATCCGGATTGGCTGCCAGGCCGGGCCAGACAGTGGTGATGGTGCTACTGCTGCCGCCCGCCAAGGAGGGCTGCTCGTCCCCGCTGTCAAAGCCGGGAGGGCGTGGGTGCACCGGGCAGTGAGCACTGGTGAGTCTTGCAGCCTCTCCGCCCGCGCCCCCTCCCTTACCTGGCCACTTTGGGGCACCCGGCCAGGCTCTTGTGGCGCCTCTGCTTGGCAGGGGCCGAGGGAGCATGCCGGGGTCCCCTGGACAAGCTTGCCTGGGGGGGGGGCGCCACAAGCTAGCCCCGCCTAGGGTGTGAAAAAACCTCGGGCCAGCCCTGCGCCTATGACTTCACAGTCAGATATGCATGACAAGTTGTAGTTGTGCGTGACAAGTTAGGGTTGCCAGCTCTGGGTTGGCAAATTCCTGGGGATTTGGGGGGTGGCATCTGGGGAGGGCAGGTTTTGGGGAGGGGCTTCAGTGGCATATGCTGCCATAGGGTCCACCTTCCAAAGCAGCCATTTTATCCAGGGAAACAGATCCCGGTTGCCTGGAGATCAGTTGCAATCCCAGGAGATCTCCAGCCACCACCTGGAGGTTGGTGACACCCCAGACATGTGCAGGTCAATTCAGATGGGGAACACAGCCCACGGAGGGGAGAGTGCTGAAGATTCCCACTTTTGGTGCCATTTTCCCAACCCGGAAAAAACCCACAGGGCTGGGATATGCCTAGGGCGGATCGCTCTGGATGGAGAAATACCTGGAGATTTGGGGAGTGGAACCTGGGGAGGGCGGGGTTTGGGGAGGGGCCTCAGCAGGGCCCAGTGTCACAGAGCCCACCCTCCAAAGCAGCCGTTTTCTCCAGGGGAGCTGATCTCTGTCATCTGGAGATCAATTGTGACAACAGGAGACTTTCAGACCCCACCGGCAGGTTGGCAACACTCGATATGCCCCTTTTGGTGAACCTTACCAGGAAGCCCTTCAGTACATGTGGTTTCCTCAAAGGGGCAAACAGGGGCTCCCTGTGGATGTTTCAGGTCGGGGGAAGGCTTAAATCTGTTGGAAATGTAGGTGTTTGCAAGGTCTCCCAATCCAGTCATTATAGGGTTAACTTGTTTACCTTGTATGCTAGTGTTTAGACTGACCTGGAAGGGAAACCTGGCTCAGAGCCAATGGGGAAATAGCTGGGGGAAAGTGACTTGTATTGTAATGCAGATTGGTTACTGGTTTCAGGTGGCTTCCTTTCTAGGGGGTCAAGAAGAAGCTCATACTCCATCGTTTATCAGTTCTGTTCTAGCCATGCTTGTTATAGAAGTCAGATGTAAGAATGTAGCTCTAAGATGTTTGTTGCTTTCATAGGTCTCTTGTATACCCTTTACCCTTAGAAACAAAGCTTTTTTTTTAAAACACAAAGAAATCTCTCCTCTCCAATGAAGCAAGATCCATCTATACTCGATGTTCTGATGAACTTAAGTATCTTTGACTGTTTTCCCAACAAAACCCTCCCTCCCCAGTCTCCATCACAATCGGAATCAACCCACCCACGACAGAGGAAGTTGCAATGCATCTCTGATCAAACCAGAAAGGACACTAAGAACAAGTGAGGTGGACCTGAGCCCTTCCTGGGACTCATTTCTAAGTAAACATGGGGCTGCATGAATATTTCACATGAGCAGGGGTCATTTCCTGCAGGAGCGCTGCGGAGCTCCGGCAGTAAAGTGCCCAGGGTGCAGGCACATGCAACAAGCCCTGCCCCCTGCTCCCAGCAGCCCTCAGTCGGGCCACGAGGAACAAGAAGCAGCCAGGTAAGTTGCAGAGGGCCCTCCCACCCACCTGCGTGTTCCCCCCCCCCATAGCTAGCAATCCAAAACAGTCCAGTGGCACCTTTAAAACCAAGTTTTATTCAGGTGCAAGCTCTCTCTCCTCTGTGAGGACAGATCTGCACGTCCCCCCCCCAATAACTAGGCTTCCCAAGTCCCCCCGGGGGGCAGGGAAAGCCCCGCCCCAGAGGCCCGTTCTCCGCCGCCACCGGATCGGGCCCCCGGGGGAACTCCACCCCGACGTGCGCGTCACCCGGAAGTGACGCAACAACGCCGGGCACGCTGGGGTTTCCCTCTATGGTTTTCCCTCGTATGGCCATGGCCCCGCCCCCAGCGTGCCTGCCGTTGTCACGTCACTTCTGGGTGACATGCACGCGGCACGCGCGCATACACACCAGACGCCGGCCGGGAGCCCCCCGCTCCGGCAGAAGATTGACTTGGCAACCCTACCAATAGCTAGCAATCCAAAACAGTCCAGTGGAGCCTGAGCGGTGGGCGTTGCCTTCTGACACACTTCCGGTGATGTCAGGGGGTGTGGGATATGCAAATAAGCGAATGAGTTATGCTAATGAGCTCCTGCACCTCTTTTCCTACGAAATGACCCCTGCACATGAGGCTATCCTTGAAGAGCATTTGG